AAACCAGCGGCGATCCTGCTGTAACCGTCTTTTACTTTTTTCATTTAAAAAAATGCTTGTATCTTCCTTAACTGAAAGATTTCTTCTGATTGTACCTTTCCGTTCCCCTATTATTACCACTATTATTATTACACTACCTTACACCAATCTCTTCCTTATTGTTCTTTTTTTTACCCTCCTTACCATTTTTTATTTTTCCTTCTCTTCAAATTCTCATTGTTTTGTGTGGCGCATATATATACTTGGTGCACTCTTGTACCAATATTTATGTGTTCAGATAAATAATAAATAAATAAAACGCGTTTATTCCTCTCTCTCTTCTATTCAACTTACTACAAGCAATGATTTTAGTTTTTATGGTTTATAAAAAAATAGGATTTATTTCATACATTTAGTGAAATAAAATTAGATCGATGTAGAACATCTTAAATAGTTGATTACATTGGTGAAATAAGCAGCTAAACAATGTGTTATGCTCTAAATTTATGACTTTTATTTATCCTTCATTTCTATCAATTTTGATAATTTAAATATATATATATGATCAATGAATATGAGTATTTGAAGACCAAAAAGATTAGAAAAATTTACCTGTCGAATAAATTAACGGACTAATTTGTATTTACACTACCATAGGTCATTTTCTGTTTACTGGTCTTAAATGTCCTTCAAGGTCAGTTAATTATGCAAATTAGGAAGTAAAATATGATAATGGAATAAAAATTCAAACAAAATACAAAGTGTATATTATCATATCTATGTTAGTAGTAAGTATTATATGGTAAATTACTATAATTTTCTTATATCAATCAAATGTTTAGGTGTTCTTCATTTGTTTGTTTGTCGTTTACCTGCTCAACTACCCCCATAAATATTCCTTGTCATATTTTTATTTACTCAGCTTTTGAAATAATTTTCATATATTTGTTTGATCTGTTGGATAAGGGAATTAAAAACCGCCATTCTTAATCCATTATCTTGACTTAAAAGAACCAATGATAACACAGTGTAGAAACATCTTTAGTTCATGTATGGTTAAATTAGTTGTTTGTTAGCCAATAAGTTATTAATTCGAACCCAATTCCATTTGACTTAATTTAAGTACATGAACACGTGAGTGCTAAACGAGTCATATTTGTAATAAATTATTAGTGTTTTCGTTTAAATCAGTCGTCTACAATTTTTATATACTCATAAATAACTAATTAATCTTTACGATGTGCGTTTACTAAGGTTGGTGTAAGGATTTCAGTGTTTGGATAGTGCTGAATGTAATTAACATGATATTACATTGCCATTTATTTCTAGTTGGTCAGTGGTTCAATGAATCATCAGTTTTTTGTTTCAAATTCAATTGATATCTAACAATAAGTATTTCACTTATGATTGGTTTTCTACTTTAAGAGGACTGAGTTACAACTGGATTTACAATAAACCTTGTTTTCCTTTGAAAATAACGGTCGCTGTAATAACTATGCATTTGTTACGTCTTTAATCTGTCTAACCATTAGTCTGTGCGTAGTATGCTGGGAGTGGGAAAGTTGTTTCAATTTAGTTTTCGCCCTTGACGCTTATTTAGTACAACTTTGAGACTTGTATCTTTTGAGTTCGATTAGTGATTGAACGTCCATAAAGGCAGAGCGAAAGAAAACTGTCATATTACTGGCCTAAAGCTTAATACATGCGTTTCATATTGTTTGTAGCTCATCATTTGGGTTTACTTACACTCCAGTAACTCAATAAATAACGTATTGAGCGTTTGAAGTGAAGGTTACTCGGTTCGAGTCCCTGTATGAACGTCAATACCAGGATACAAGTACATCCAGTTGACGAGTCCGAGATAGAACTAAATATATGTTCTGAGTCACACTTCTAACCACTTTCCGTGTATTTTTTATGTTTAGATTTTCATTACAGTTGAAATTAACTTTCTCTCCATTCGCTGCCAGTCTGGTTAATTGTTTCTCTCTCTTTCATTATGTTAGTGCGATGTGTATGACATCTCGGAAAAATACATATTCGTACCAATTCTCTTTAATGGTAATTGACTGATAAACAGACTATTGCAAAGATTATCTATCTCTTTGTAGCTATTTTCTTACCTTAATTTACTGTTGGCATTAAATGATAAACAAATACAAAAATGTGGTTTCTTTACGAAAGAACCGGAATATTTTGGATTCTCTTGATCTTCGACAAATTATACTTGTTATAGTTTCATTCCAACTGACTTCATAGTTCCGGATTTCGTTTTACAAGTCATTTTCGTTTTTTAGCTATCCAAAAGTATTTAATCCATATTTAATAATAATATGACTTTTTGTCTATTGTGTCATTGATTATTCATTTTCTTTCCAAGTAAACATGACCTTCAGACATCCTGTGTCGTTTATCGAAAATAAATGTAGATTTTATAAAAGAAAAGACCATTATTGTCTAGCCATGAAGATGAATGTCTGTAAAAAATTGACAGTTATTAAATAAATGCTTAGTTTATAAGATGTTATATAGAATTATCTTAGGAAACGACGATATTAAGCTCCTTCAAATGAATGTAGAATCTAAGGCGCAAGTTTCATTTTATTTGTAACTCATCAGGAGATCCTATCAATGTTCATAATGAGACTCGAATCTAGCAGTGATTTCTTTAGACATCAACGTGTTTTCCATTGAGATACTGAATCCAGATAGTTACTTACTTGTAAAACCAGTATTAAGGTATTCTTTGTTTTTATATTCAGGACTACAATTAATCAGTTACAACCTAATTATCCTAAAACTTGTGGCAAAAGGGCTATATTAGAGGCATTCTTGTCAGGATGCACATGTGGCAATATAAACTGATCAAAATCCAGTCCCGATCATCAATCATGAGAAATTATAAACCCTTTAAGTTTAAAGACATTCATCTCTTTTATATCGGTAGCATTTTTGGATAAGCGTAAGGCATGATCCCTTGAAATTGTATGAATCAAACCTAAGAATCTTTGTATTCGAAATGCAAATAAAAAACCATGTTTTAGAACATCTACCTTTATTCAAATAACTGGACGGTATCATTATACTGTATACGGTGCGTGTAGTTTGTTTTTGTAAATGAATTTGTTTACATTTACTTAAATTTATTCATTCATTAGTCTTAGAAATTATTTGTACCTACTATCTAATTTATGTATAACATAACACTGAGTATTACCAATTTATAAGCCGTAAAAAGTAAAGTGGCAATATTTCTGAATAAGCGTGAAACAAAATCATAGAAAAACAGAACAGGGATGAAATTCAAGTAAACGCTGTGACCAAGTTAGATTTCATCCGATTAAAAGGTAGATCTTACTGTTCATACAGGAAATAGGCGGATAATATTGAGCGATCATCACTGAAAGTACCTACTCTGAACTATTACTGGTATTAATCTCAAGCTGGTGAGTTATGCGATCTCATACAGTTAGTAGTAGCGAACTTTTATTCCACTGAACTATTATATCGTAAACTATTCATTTTATTCTTCACTCAGTTGCATCACCAACAGATAATGTTGAATACAAAAGCACGTACTTCATTTCACTGCTGACCAATATCCTAAATTACGATGTACGTTAACTCATTAACAGAACAAGTAGTATTATTTAGTTATTCACATACGGTGGATATATGTAGCCATACGATTTCACATCAGTATTTTGCCTGTAAGTTGTGCTTTTAGATATCGATTTCATCATATTTTGTAGCAAAATTTAATATCCTTTGAGAAGTTCCTAGAATATTGGAGTTATCTACAAACCTATCAATAATTTTGTCGTTTATAAATGAGCCGATCTTAAAAGCAAAGATTCTGTCCATGGTTTATGCTTTTTCTCTGCTGTTCCGGGTTCAAGTGTATGAGAATTCTGAAGATTTAGGAAACAGCTAGGAAATTATTATCAGGAGTTTAAGTATATGGTGTATCAGCTTATGTATATCTAAAAAATTTATAATCATTCTCTTCTTGTCCTTTCGAAATTGATATAAAAGTGTACATTGGAATATTTACTAAGAACATCAACCGTATTTACCATTATACTGTTCATGTACTCTGGAATTCGTTTCATACTAAAAGTTAATTAGATTCTGAACAATGGCTAGCATTAAAACGCAGGATGCGTGTGTTTGCCTTGTCAGGATACATTTTGTAATGAACGAGAACTTAGGTGTATCTGATGTGTGGGAGAGGGAAATAATGATTCGTTGTTTGTTTATTCAGACTAGTAGGATGGTCTGACAGGCATTAAATGAGTCATGTATTTTCCTACCCTTATTACTATTGTTATTGTTGTCCGTTTTTGATGTGGAAATATACTTACGTTCTAGTCGGACTAGTCACGTGTTCTTGGTCTGAGTTGTGTCGAAGTCCTGTAGAATAAACACTGGAAGGGTATCTAGTGTAGATATTCGTCCAAGGTAAAATAACATCTCATTCGTGTAGACAGAAAAACAGCATTTTAACAGTAGCAGTTTTTACAAAATTGCAGAGTGCCTTCATAAAATATGAAAACCATACATTAAATAAATTATTTACACATCTTCCTTCAGTTTTCCTGTACCTGCTTCATAATTCTTCCAATCTTGTTAATACAATTACTCTTCATTTTGCTTGTTGTTCTCTTCAGTTCAGTCTTCAGCTGGCATACATACTACTTACATCTGTCAGCACAAGTAGCATACGCTACATTACTAGCTGAATATACTCATATCTCAGTGTTAAAGTTTACATCGAAGCTCGGATCTATTTTCTACCAATTCGAATTCCCATATGTGTTTACTCCATAAGTATAAATCATCGAATGTAACTGCACTAATATCATTGTATTGCATTGCGATTCAAATCTAAGTACTAAGACTGAAGCCAAGCATACAGTTATTTTATTGTTTATTGCCTGTTAACTAGTCATATTCTTATCAATTATGTTCTTTGTACGTAAAAACTGAATTCAGTTTTATATTTACTACATATCTTTTAGAACCGTTCTAATCCACATATGATAGATGCATGCGGTGAAATAATTTTACAAATATGTCAACAACTGCCTGGTATGTTAAACTGTTTTTTCAATAACGAAAAACTTAACTATATTTCACATGATGATTCGACAGTAACCATTATAAACTAAGAGGGTATAAATGAATTGCTATTCGTTCTCATTTTAAAACTCTACAACATATAAGTTTGAATCCTTGATCTTAGAATCTCGGACATCGGATGGAAGCAATCTTTCAAAAACAACTATAATCGAAGTATGGAGTCTGCGGAACTTTCTTAGCTGCCCCCAAATGCTCTGGTACGTCCGAGAGTGGGGAGAGTCAGCTCTCAGATGGTCACGAGTATACTGCCACTTTCACGGATGTTATACTCATTGCCTTCTCGCGGCGGGAGTATTGTTTACGAAATTGAGAGGACGAAAAGGGAGTGTCTGGCGCTTTAACCGGGTTTGTGGATACGAAGGATCCACCTAAGGGAGTTGTAAAATTCAAAACCAATGTTACACATTAGCTGCAGAATACTGAGGAAACAAATGGTGTATGAACCCTGTTGTTAGTCACTGGCTACCATGGGACTGCATCTCCTGACGTTGCTCCACTATCTTGTGGATTAGACCTGTAGGTGAATGGTTCGGGGAGTGGCTACCTAAGAAAACCATTTGCTCCCGTACTTATGGATTTACTTCGACCGTTACACTGTCATCAGCACTCGATACTATCTTCACGCACAAACTTCTCAACTGATTCCAATGTCCAAACACAAAGGATAAGTTTGGGCATAAATTCCTATTATAAGTACTTGGTAGTTAGTTTGGTATTAATTTGATAAAATCCCCAGAGAAGTCAAACTAAGATAAGAAAATTATCCCTAAATTTATTATGTGGTAAGCTAAATTGCGTAAAAGTTGGTGTCTACTAGATAACTGTGAGTGACGTGAGTGAACTTGCTCTCTTTTTCCATCACCTGTAAACCTTCATATAGGCTCAATTATTTGATTTATGCACATAAAGATATAAAGTAGTTTTAATGAGCTAAAAGGTGTCTGCAGAAATCTTTTTCTAATGAGTACTGTTATACCACAAGCGCTAGTAACATACTTCTCGATAATTGTTTTCGATTTGATTGGATTATATGGTGGTGGCTGAATGTCAAACCGTTGACGGTCAATTTTGTACAATTGGATTGTTTAAGCTGCTCAATCTAAGGCTAATAAATGGAGTGACTGAATTTAAAATTGGAATAGTGTGTATGAACTAATGAGGCTACCCTATTCTTATCATTATTATCTAAACTAAACATGTTTATTGTTATTATTATTGGGCATTGTGGAGGTTGCTGAATCACATGTTCTATCAGTGATGACGTCTTGGGTGTGTACTACTGATAAGTCATATACTAAGGAAAACAGTCGTCTAGTGCGTTTTTAGTGTTTGTTTTGTTCGTTGTTATCATGTATTTCTGTTATATATATACATTGACGAGAAAGGCTCTAGTGATTTTATTGTAAGGTTTCTCCTTGAAATAGACAGTAATGAGCTTTACCAAGTGGAAAAAGTAAAACTTTATAAACATATAGTTTACTAGCTTGATTACTCGCCATTCTTATCTCATAGTTCAGTTCTGTCATCTAGGATACGGCCTTGCATTCTTTAGCGCTGTGTGTGAATATTTAATACCTAGATTATTTAAGTTGGGAATCCACAAAACTCACTGTATACCTACGGTTTTCCACAATGTAGAAAATGTCGTAAGCTGTATTACATGACAGATGAGAATTCCTATCATTTTCAATACTTTGTATTGCGTAAAGATTTGCCAAGTTTTCTGAAAATAAATACTCATTGGTAAGCAATCCAGTTGATACATGACCGCTTATCGCATATCGAATGTTTAGAAGACAAATAAAGGCGTCGCCAAATAAATCCGTATGGTAAGAGGGGTACAGTCGTGAATAATAAATTACATTAATATCACACAATGAGGTTAGTAACATAACGCATCAATAACTTAGATACTAGACACATATTTCTGAGACTACAAGTTGTGAGTCTCCCAATAGCATTAGTCTTCCAAGGTCAAGTCCATCTCTCAGACCGTTTATGTTCTAGCAAGTTTAACTCCGTGTTGTTCTGTCATACATCACGTGACCAGTTTATTGCAGCTGAGTTACAAAAGTTATGACTCATGCTAGTTTGTTTAATCCAACACATGATAGCTATATGATCAGAATTGTTGCGTGGGTGGTCCTCCTGTGTTTGTACGTTTAAATAAATATTGTAGTTTGATAAGCTAGCTATCTATGAGCAATACCTTTGATAAATATCGTACACTTTAAAAAGATCTCTATTTTTGAAATGTAATTAGACAAAGATGGAAGCAACTTTCTTCAAGTTCTTTCGGATTAAACATTCTGCATCTAGTGCTTCTTCGTTCGAAGGTTTTTAATTGTCATCATTTTAACACTTAAAATGAAATAAACAGTGTTTTTATATCAAAATAATTTCCTATGATGAGCTTAGATTCTTAAAGAAAAGAAAAGAAAACCCTTTTTCCAATAAGAATGATTACAGCAATGGTCTTTTTTTCTTAAGTACTTATTGTAGTTGACATTGTTATGAGTGAATGGATGTTAATAAAAATTTAAATTATCGGGTCGTATATGTACATATACAGCGTTAATTATCATTCGCTTCTACTATAAATTAAATAGATGTAGGTAAAGAAATCACTGTTTGTTGATTTAAAGACATGTATTATTAATTATTATTTGAAAGTCATCTTTATTTATTTAAACACAAACATTGGTACAAGGAGGCACCAAATAGATATGCGCCACATAAATCATTTGATTGTGTGAGGGCTAGAATACTGACCGGGCACCAAAACAAAACCAGATAGATTTCTTAGGGAGCCACTCCCCGAACCATTCACCTACAGGTCTAATCCACAAGATAGTGGAGCAACGTCAGGAGATGCAGTCCCATGGTAGCCAGTGACTAACAACAGGGTTCATACACCATTTGTTTCCTCAGTATTCTGCAGCTAATGTGTACTGTTGGTTTGGAATCTGAATTTTCCAACTATCTTAGGTGGATCCTTCATATCCGTCAACCCGGTTAAAGCACCGGGCATTGGCTTTTCATCCTTAACAACACTCCTGCCGAGAGAAGATTGTGAGTAGGACACTCGTGGCAGTGGTTGTATGCACGTGGCCATTTGGGGACAATGAACTCGGAGAATTACAGCATTGTTTTTAAACAGTGTAAGTTATTAAGATATTTTTTGTTCAGTTCATGTCGATGTTTAGGAGATAATAGCCAACATACTCTGATTTCACCAAATAATGAAATATTTGAAGCTTCACATCTTTAGTCCTATTTTACAACTTAAAAGCGCACATATAATCTCGAATAAGATTTTTGTGAATTCTCACAATATAATACCAATCAGTTATTAAATCAGAATCTTATCATCCAAATTTCCGTAATACATTCTGTTTTGCAATATAATTTTATCATTATTCAGTGTCGTGATAAGTATCCATTTCAATAGTTGAGTATTTTTTATTTCTCAGCAAGACATTCGAAATTGAAATAAAAGATAGTAACTACCCCTAATGACATCAACTCTAGCATAGTGAAATAACTAAATGGGTGTGTCCGAATATATAGTGATATGCTTTAATCATATATTAAACACATCCATTTACAGTTTGGCTTGACATTATATTTTGCCCAAACTTCTAATCGATTGAAAATGACCCTAGAACAATGAAGCAAATGATTAACCCATAAATCTTACTTACGTTTTACTATAGTCTTTCTATTCGAGATCGTTTAATTTGTGGGAACGTGTATCAGTACTAAGTAATAGTTAGTTTTTTGTATTTCTGAAAGTTGAATAGTTTATAATTATATTTATTGCTTTTCTTTATAACTTCATTATCTCGTTTCCGTCATATAAGATAATTGTTAAGAATTAGAATTGATATACTATTTGTGTAAAATTATATTTGAAATAATCTCAACGATTGAAATCGAATCAATTCCAACGTTTCGTCCAGCAAACCTTTCTAGTCCTCTTCAGGGTATTAATCAAAATCAGAATTATCAAAAAATTGATAATAGAAGTTTGATAGTTGAAATCATGAGTCAATTGAAGCTAGACCACCATGGAACACCCGGAAGCACTGGACGACCGTTTCGTCCTAGTATGGGACTCCTCAGCAGTGCGCATCCGTCGGATGCGGATCCAGTGGTCTAATGGTTAAGCGCTCGCGCCTGAGACTAATAACCCCTAGGTTCGAATCTCGCGTGGGGCGGGATACTGGGTGCGCACTGCTGAAGACTCCCGTACTAGGACGAAACGGTCATCCAATGCTTCCAGGTTTTCCATGGTGGTCTAGCTTCAATTGATTCATGATTTCAATTATTGAAATTTTTAAAAATCTCCACAAAACCCCTTCTGATAATAGAATTGATATAATTTTATTTTTTTTGAGGTTCAATATTGTTTTATTTAGTTTATTTAAAGTACGCTTATACCATACATGATTGGTTAGTTACTTTGCTCTAAGGTGTGTAATATATATATTCACTCCAATAAATAAATCCATAATATTTCTATCAATGTTGTGGAGTGAATTATATTTGTGGTAGGTAGAAATAAATTAACTCCATATTTCAATTGAGATCGAATGATAATGAACACTGTATTGGCCAAATGTAATTAATTACTTCTTTTTAAATTAAGAAAGCAGTTGTTTTTGTTTTCAAATTAATGTAAATCTTATTTTCAATTTCGCAATTACATTTCAACTAAGGTAAATTATAAATATATGGACAGACTTGTACATGTATGGGCAACGTATATTTATATTTATTTATCATTACTATTACTTGAGTAGTTGAATTAATCATGAAATGTTAAATAATTGTGTAAACCAAACTTTCATGGTGTGGTGTGCTACTGATGGCGACAGATAAAAGTAGTATGTATCACCAGTCGAAAGTGGAATGCCGAGCGGCGGAAAGTTGAGATCGAAGAGAAG